ATGCAACAAATAAAAGAATTAGATATTAATGAAAAAACAAGAACAGATATATTATTATTTAACACTTTAAAAGATGTTATTGAAAGAGTTGAAAAGTTAGAGGAAACAAAAAGCGATAAAATATATTATAAACTACCTGCCGTAAACTTGTGTTCATATTCATTGATTTAATAATATTATGAATAATAATATTATTAGTCAATAACTAATTTAGCATCAAATCTTTTGTAAAACATATCATTAACATCTGATTTCATTAAGTTAATAAATAAGAAACTATAAGGTTCTTCTGTTGCTATATTATACACTTCTAACAATAGCTTTTTTGCTTCTGACAGATTTTTAGCATCTGCTACAGTTGATTTTTTAATTAATACTGCGCTTAATTCCTCAACCATTGTTTCTATTTCCTTGTAATTTCTCAATCTGAAAAAGAACAACTGACGACTATTGACACGAATAATAGGAGACAGCGCGTTGAATTTTTGTGTGCTTGTTATGATATTGATACTGTTGTGTCTCCCGCGGACATACAACTGATTTAATAATGGGCTATTGCGTGAAAAACTTTTTGAGTCAGCAAAATCATCCACTATTATCAGTATTGAGAATAATTTATTGTGGTCGTTCTTCTTCTGGTATTCAATGACTTTATGCTGTCTTTTTATCACCGCTTCTAATTCTTCGGGGATATACTCATCAAATAGACACTTTTCTTTCTCTAAGTTAACCTTTAAATTATCCTGAATATATTTTTTAACTGGTAACCAATTACTATCCACTGAAATGGAGGGGGACCATATATATATTCTTTCAAAGACATCTCTGTAAATGTCTAGTATCATTGACTGTAATAGAATGCCTTTTCCTGAACCTGATGGACCTGTTATTATTTGTGAAAACGGTAATCGTGGTGCTATTTCATACTTAGATTGTTTAAAATCATATTCTTTAACATTAACTGGTTTGACTATAGGAGTAAGCATTATTATTATTACATAGAAGAATTATATGGTTTAAATATATAATGAATAAATACATAGAAGTAATAAATGAGATAGAGAAACTAGATTATGTCATAAAAACTCCAAGGTATAGAATGTGTTGTCACAGTCTGTTAGAGTTTCTTAAAGCAGTATGCTATTATATTAAGAATGTTAAAAAATCTAGTTAATGTAAATGAGCGATACATCAAATGACAGTGGAGGAAGAGATAAAGGTTTGCATATTGATAAAAAAGGCGTTCATTGTATACCTTGCCGTTGTAAAAGGCAGTTTTATCATAAGGAAACGAAGACAGTTAAAGAAAACAATATAGTTACAACAGATACTGTTATTGATAAAAGAAATACTAAATTTGGTGGTAATGGGAGACATACAAGCCCGGACGATATTTTTAAAGATGAAAATTCATTACAGACAGGAAGTGTTGAAATATGCGATACAGGATGGGGTAAATCTCAGATTACCCCAGAAGAACTTGAAGAAAGGTTAGATAAATGCGAGACGGATATAATAGAAATTAAAAAGGATATTGAAGTCATAGCTAAACATGAGTTACATAAAATGGATTAAAAAGTAGAATATATTATACAATTGACAGTGTATAGTCTTTGAAGTCCCCCCAGACACTGAAACAGGAAAAGGAGAAGAAACCCCAGTATCAAGTTCCCTTAATACCTACTGCATATTTATAGATGGACGAGAGAAAGGGGGAAGTATCTTGATACATCTGTATAATTTGATACACATAAGATGTATCACTTAATTAGTTTGAAGCTTCGTTAAATCTTAAGGACATGCACAATTCATAACATTTCGTTATGTTATGAATTATTTTGTCACCTGATTATATAATGCTCGTTGTATTTGGTGAAATGAGAGAAGGAGAAGATAAACTATTAGAATGTAAGAGGTGCAAAAAGAAGTATCCAATGAATAACTTCTTAAATACTAATAACAAGTATTCAACAACGACTTGCAAGTATTGTAGAGACGATTTGAGAAAGGAAGGTGAGAGAATGAAAATACAACAAAGTGTTCAAATGCGTTAAAATTTTTAAAACTTTTAATCTAAGTTTGTATATATGAGTGAAACTTCATCTGAAGTCAAAAGCCCCATCAAGAAATTAAAAGAAGAGGTTAAGAAGCTAGAGGAAACAGTAGCTAAATTAGTTGCGAGGGTAGATAATCTTGAGGAGAAGAAGAAAGGAAAGGAGAACCAACCACCAAGCGTGTTAAACTCAAATTATAATAACAAAAGGAATGCATATATTAATAAGTTAAATAACAAAGATATCTTAAATCCAAAGGAAGAAACAAAGAAGTATTATGAAGTGCAGTACGATCCGGAGAATGAGAAGTATTATTAGTTTAATTTCAGGGAAAAAAGCATTTAAAGAAATAACGACTATATATATTAGTGAGAAAAATGAATGATAATGAAAGTGAAACTAGCTCTAATATTTCTAGACATTGCTATAAAACTGACTTATATGAAAGCATTGAACATGTAAGGGCAATCACTAAGGATTGCCGAGAATGTCAAAGAATGAGAGATTGTTTGAAGAACACAATCAAACTAAACTTAACTGGAGATGTGTATGATTTAGTTTGTAAATTCTGTTCGTGTTCAAAATGTAATAAGATACATAGTGTTATTGACGAATGTATTGAATATTGGAACTTTCATTCATTATGGGAACTTCAAACATTGTTTTTCATTCGGTTCAATTCATACCCATCTTATGAGTTTATCCAAAGTGAAATAAACAAGGACAACAATAAATACACTATTGAAATGCACAGCAAACTGGCTTCACTGTATGATAAACTTTTCAATGTAGAGTTTATAGATGACATGAAGTATGAAGTTTGTAAAGGCGACCCCGACGAATTACATGACTACTTCAACATACTTCAACTAATTATCTACCACATTATGGATAATAAAAAAGTTGGGGGATATGAAAACTATCATTCTCTATATGATTATGATTTTGGATTTACAATACTGTTGCAACTGAATGAAGACTGGTTCAGAGTAGATAGCGAAACTGAAACTGAAGATGACGACGGTGAAATTTGAATAGTAATAATTAATACAATAATATCAAAAAAAATTGTATTAATTATTTTTAAACCCAAAAAGTGTTTGTCAATATTCCTTTATATTAACAAAGCCTTCTTTAGTTCCTACACACGACCCCAAGCCCCGAACCACCCAAAATACCCTAAATTCTATCAACCCCCTCACGCCCATCCGGAAGAATGGATTTTTGAATAATTTCTTATAAAATGAATAAACCCCATCACGCCCATTGGAAAGAATTGATTTTAGAAAACATTTAAAGGAATACTAGTATTATATATGTAGTATGGAAACGGTCAAACGATGTAGCAGATGTAGGAAGAAGAAGGAGGAAGTTGAATTCAAGGAGGGATGCAGAGTTTGTATTCCGTGCTCGGATGCTTGTAGAAAAAATCAACAGGACAACCCAGACAAGGCGAGGGAGAAATGTCAAAGGTATTACGAGAAGAAGCGAGAAGACATATTAGAAAAGAAAAGAGAGAAAACATGGTGCAACTTATGCGAAATGTATGTAGCCAAAGACCAATACCAGAGACATACAAAAACAATAAGACACCAACACTATTTAAAATTGGAAGAAGGAGAGCAGTCAGATGTGGAAGATACCAAAAATAAATTTTGGTGCGAGACTTGTAGAATTTGGTTAAGTAAGAAGACAAGGACATCGCATTTTGGAACACCAAGACACCTTGAATTGGAACAGCGAAGGCGAGAGTAATACTGCTTGATACATTCAATTTTAAATATTCAATGTATCAAGGAGTTTTTGAATTAAATTTCGGGGGGTCGGGGGGGTCATATATGCGGAGTATGACGACGTGCATGACACTTGCTTACTCCCCTCTGTTTAGAGGGCCCTGAAGTATGGGCCCTTATGTCTTATAGGATTTATATGGGGCCCCAGTGAAGGGTTTATAAAAAAGGGACCATGCAACTACCAGTGCCCTTGGGGGTTTTAGGGCTTTAGGGTGTTCGGTGTTTTAGGTATTCGGTTAGTTAAATTCGAGCTTGGGCTGTTTCGGGCCAGACTTTTCGCGCTTTAGGCTGCATGGTTTGGGGTTCCGGGGGGTTTAGGGTGTGGAGCTTGAGGTTCCCCTAGACCCAAAACTCTAAGCCCTAAATCCCTACACTATGGGGACTCAGCATTCTGTGGGTTCCGTGCTTGGAGTTCATGTGGGACTCAGCATTAAAGGGAAGGGTGAGCCTCGCGTCCATGCACGGGACCTCCCTTGTGCCCGTACATTGGCCCGTACATCGTTGATTTTAAACGGCATCCCGGCCCTGAACCCCAAACCCTACACCCTACACATGACTACTCAGCCTTGAAGCCGAAGTCTCCGAACCCCCGCAGTGAAGCAGTTCAGGGCTTTTTTTCGCTTCAGGGCTTAGGGTTTGTTGTGTGTTGAGGGTATAGGGTTTTTCGTTTTAAGGTTTGCAGGCTTCTAGTAGTCTTATAGTGCTATAGGGTTTGAGATTTTCAGGGTTTCAGGGCTTCAGGTTTTTCGTGTTAGGGTCCGCAGGGTGTTGATGGCCTCCGAGCAGGCTGCTGATGCCCCAGCGCCGGTTGAGCCCCTCTCGCCGGTGAAAGGAAAAGCACCGAAGAAGAAGGTGCCGAGCAGGGCATTGAGGCTTTCGGCTTTAGGGCCTTTAGGGTTTAGGGTTTAGGGTTTAGGCTTTAGGGTTTAGGGTTTAGGGGTTTCGGGTTAGGGGTTTCGGGTTTGGAGGTTTCGGGTGTTAGGATTTAGGCTTTGGGGTTTGGGGCGTTCCGGGTTGAAGGTTGAGGGTTATTGAAAACACCCCGCGTCTCAGGTTGACAGGATAGGTGCATGCTGGGCATAAAAAGACTTTGTTCGAAGTTACGGGCTTTTCCTCACAAACACCCAGCTCGTGAGAGTCATAGCCACCAGAGATGGAGCGGAGAGTGGAGAGGGAGGCATGGCACCACACAACTGGGATGAAATTCGTCCGAGGTGGCACGTCAGCAGCACTCGCCCACGTGCACTCGGTCCGGCCGGCTCACGTGCGAAGGCCCGTTTTGCCCCTCGCCGAGCTTCACGTCGCCGACCTTCTTTCCTTTCAGCGACCACAGCGGGCCTCGGCGCCGGCGCGGACGCGGACATCTCGGAAGAGCAAGCAACCGAGATGAAGTGAAAACTCTCCGAGCGCATCACGAACTCTTCTAGTTGAACCCTAAACCCCAAACCCCAAACTCTAAACCCTAAACCTTGTTTCCACCGCGGCCCATCATCTATATCCCTAAGCTCCCCTGACGCAAGGGTTTTAGGGTACCCTAAACCCGAAACCCGAAACCCTAAACCCGAAACCCTAAGCCCTAAGCCCTACACCCTGAACCCTGAACCCTAAACCCTAAACCCTAAACCCTAAACCCTAAGTCGAGGTCTTGGAGTTCAGGGGGTCATTGGGTTGGTTGCTGTTGGGTTTTGAGGCCACTGGCTTAGGCTCGGGGTGGCTGGCAAAGCGAGCGTTGACTTCTCCTAGGTAGGACAAGGGGGGCCCTTAAAAAGGGAACCCTTCTTAACCCTCTTCTGGCTCTCTTAAACAGGGGCCTTAATGCAGAGGGTCTATATCCCCAAGGGTCCCCCTAATCCTATCCCCGAAGACTTCTTGGGGGTCGATGACAAGTGCTTTGTGGTGCTTCACTGTAACTTTAGATCCTAAGCCTTTTTGGGGTTTATTGGGGTTTCCTAGTAAGGCAGCTAAAATTTACAGCTACCCTCCTAAGTGCAGCCAAGAAGTGTCTTGAGGTCTTGAGGAGAAAGGTAAGGGGGGGCATTGGAAGCCTAAAGCCCTAAAACTTGGGATGTTCCCTCTTAGACCAAGAGTCTTAATAGGGATTTATATGAATCATCCCTACTAAGGATTATTAGTAGAAGGGGGAACATCCCAACATAAAACCCCTAAACCCTAAACCCGAAACCCGAAACCCTAAACCCTAACCCTAAACCCTGAACCCTGAACCCTAAACCCGAAACCCTGAACCCTGAACCCTGAACCCTGAACCCTGAACCCTGAACCCTGAACCCTGAACCCTGAACCCTGAACCCTAAACCCTAAACCCTAAACCCTGAACCGCACCGTCGCCAGCATGCGCCCTCGGCCTACAATATCTTCTCGAAAGACCAGCGGGCGGCAGTGGCGCCGGAGCTCAGTTCAACACATGTTGATGGGCGTTTTTATTTTTTGGTTTTCAGGGCTTATATAGGGCTTAGAGTTGCCCTAAACCCTAAACCCTACACCCCTAAACCCTAAACCCTAAACCCTAAACCCTAAACCCTAGAGAGTGACATGAGAGCTTCAGGGGAGGAACTGCTGTCATATGTAGAGATTGATCAAGCTGGTCCTCGCCAGTGGTTTGGACGGCAGCACAGGAGGAGGAGGAGGAGGAGGAGGAGGAGGATCTCTGCTCTGCGGAAGAATCAGGGTACTGTAGGGGTCGAGGTTCTTGGGATACAGACCAGAGACTCAAAGAATCCTATTTGAAGTGTGGCCGTCTGTTCTGTATATGACCCATTGTTTTCTTTGCAGGGGCTGTGTTCTCGTCTCCGCCTACTTGAGCAAAGGGGTGTGGGGGGTTCCTTGTGGATACTCTGGAACCTAGTCTACGGGTGTTCGCTTGCCGCTCCTATGATTTAAGTCTTTCATTACATGGCCAGTAAGGGACCAGATGAATTAAGTGCCCATTGAAACTACCCTTAGATTAAGATCTCAGACTCCTAGGGGGTTCGTTTGCAAGCAGCCCCGAGCCAGACGGTCCTTAAGCCCAGCAGGGTTTAGGGTTTAGGGTTTAGGGTTTAGGGTTTAGGGTTTAGGGTTTAGGGTTTAGGGTTTAGGGTTTAGTAACACCCAACGCAACTCGGACCGAGAGGAGGCCCTTATTCCACCTTTTTTGTTAGGGCTGCGGTTCCCTTGCAAGCCCCCTTAAAACCCAAAAATGGTACCCTTGCCATTCCTAGGTTAGTCTTGGGTGTAGGGTTTAGAGTTTAGGGTTTGGGGTTTAGGGTGTAAGTCTGGCCCCATAAGGAGAGAGAGAGAGAGAGAGAGAGAGAAGAAACTTTGAACCCTGCAGCCTTGACTTTCTAAGCCCTCCGGCCCCCAACACCTCACTCCATGGTGAGGAAGCTCTCTTGGCAGCCTGAACCCCAAACCCGAAACCCTCAACCCTCAACCCTAAACCCCAAACCCTAAACCCCACACCCTAAACCCTAAATCCTAAACCCTAAACCTCAAACACCAAGGTGGAAGAGTTGCAGAACTCGCTGCAGCGGAAGCCTGAACCTCTGTGACCCAGGGGCCATTTTCTTTTGGGGTTTAGGCTTTGCTTAGTAGCTGAGTGAGTACACTTTGCACTTTTTGGGATACTATAACCCCCTACAGAACTGAAAGTGTACACTTCTTGGGGGCTTATGAACTCAGCAACTAAGTTTATAGGGGTTAGGGCCTTAAATTTCAGGGATTGTGGTTTAGGGTTGAGGGTTTCGGTTAACTTGTACACCTTAATTCCGTGACATTCTAATCCCAACAGTTAAGACAGCTAAGGGCGCTTTCCCATGGGGTAGACCGCCCCAACCCCCCCACCCCACCCCCCCCCCCCCCTCCCAAAGAAAAACAAAAACTAACAAATAAATGATTAAAAAGTATAAAATGAAAAAAGCAAAAGAAAGGCCTTTTCACTGTATATAGTCTTTTGGTAGCTTCTTATTACCTCGTACACCTGCATTCCTGCCTGGAAACTCCCATCTTGAAACTGTGCGAACTGAACCCTGAACCCTATAAGAAGGATATGGGTCTAGGGGCGTAGGGCTTTGGTGGCTGAGGGGTTTAGCCTCTGAGGCCTTAGGGCTTTCGGCTCATGTTCTGTTGAGGCACCGATGGCTTGTGGGCTCAACACTCAGGGTTTAGAGCAAGCCCTGTGGCCCACCTGCACCTGTTTTCTGCTACCATATTCGGACCCTAAACCCTACACCCTAAACCCTGAACCCTAAACCCTAAACCCTAAAACCCTAAAAACCCTAAACCTAAACCTCTTTTTTTGCCTTTCTACCATGTGGGTTGAGAAAAGCCTGTGAGCCTTAACCCTATGCTACCCTAAGCCCTCGGCCCTAAGGCCATTAGTTAAGTAGCTGTCCTTTGTGAAGGTTCCATTAAATACTCCAGTAACGCCTAAATACCCTACATGCGGTGGCCGGCAGAGTGCGGATTTTAAGTATTTCGCTAGGTGTACGAGGGAGCCTGGGAGAGAAGGGTTTAGGGCTTAGGGGATAGTGGGGTTGAAGCTGTTGAGCACATCGCCCCCCCCCCCCCCCCCCCCGCATTCAGGGGCGCTGGAGTGCAGCAACCAGGGGTCAAAAGGTACATGGCTGAACACGCCTGGGCAAGGTATGCCCTTCAGCCCTAAACCCTAAACCCTAAACCCTAAACCCTAAACCCTAAACCCTAAACCCTAAACCCTAAACCCTAAACCCTAAACCCTAAACCCTAAACCCTAAACCCTAAACCCTACCGAGGCCCACCTTCGCAGAGATTTGCAAGGCGATTCCCGAGAAGTGGAAGGCCGTCGACGAGGCAAGCTGAGGGGCTTGGGGTTTGCGTGTCAAATTGGGGGGGGTTTAGGGGTTTAGGGTTTAGGGTTTAGGGTTTAGGGTTTCAGGGTTTTAGGGTTTAGGGTTTTAGGGTTTTTAGGGTTTTAGGGTTTTAGGGTTTTAGGGTTTTTGGGTTTTGGGGTTTTTGGGTTTTTGGGTTTTAGGCTTTTAGGTTTTTACGGTTTTAGGGTTTTTAGGGTTCAGGGTTTTGGAAGGGATGTTACCCCTTTTCCCTTCGGGACTCTAGGGGGTTTGAGGGCTTACGAACCAGGGTTACAACATGGGTTTAGGGTTGAAAGTGTCGAGTTTAGGGATTGGGATGTTCCCCCCAGATGATAGACAACCTAAAAACACTAACCCAAAACTCTGAACCCCAAACCGTAACCCCCTAAATCCCTAAATCCCCCAAGCCCTAAGCCCTAAACCCTAAACCCTAAATCCCGCATACCCTAAGACCCATAAGCCACCTGGCAGAGGCGCAGAAGGCTTTTTACGAGCAGAAGGCGAAGATTGCTAAGGCTGGAGAGCCCACGGTTCAGGGTTTAGGGTTTAGGGTTTGGGGTTTGGGGTTTAGGGTTTAGGGTTTAGGGTTCGGACCTTAAGCATGAGGGACGCCCCTGTGTGTTATCTTTTTGCCCACTAAGCAACCCCTGGCCCTTCAAAGACTTGACATGAGTCCCTGGAGCACAAAAATTGGGGTTTAGGGTTTAGGGTTTAGGGTTTAGGGTTTAGGGTTTAGGGTTTAGGGTTTAGGGTTTAGGGGTAGGGTGCTTAAGCGAGGGGCGTTCAATTTGTCAAGGGGGGGATGTAGCCCAAGGCTACCTACTCCCCCCCCCCCTTCTTAAGGACCCTATGCCTACAAACGAAATCCTAAAAAAGCCCTAAACGACCAAAGCGCCACTTCCCGCAACCCAAAGCCAAAAGCACCCTCAGAAGCCTTGACCAAAACCTTGCATTAGCAACCCTGAACCTTAAGCCTGCAAAAGCTCCGAAAGCCCTAAGTTTTTAGGGTTTTAAAACCCTGAAACCCTGAACCCCCTAAATCCCGGAGCCCTTCACCCCGAAAGCCCAAACCTTCTAAAGCCCCTGAAGGCGCCGCCTCTTAAAACTCAAAACCCCAAACCCTAAACCCTAAACCCCAATCTCCTTAAACGCAATCCCTAGACCCCAAAACCCTAAACCCCAAACCCTGAACCTAAACCCTAAACCCTAGACCCCAAACCCTAAACCCTAAATCCCCAAACCCTGAACCCCCAAGCCCCTAAACCCGAAACCCTAAACCCGAAACCGCAAACCCTAAACCCCAAACCCTAAGCCCTAAACCCTAAAATGCAGGAGCAACTGGCCTTGGAGCCCGCCGAAGCAGAAGTCCCCAAGGCGAAGAAAGCTCGGGCGCCCATCGCTTTGGGGGGCCTTGGGGGTTTAGGGTTTAGGGTTTAGGGTTTGGGGTTTAGGGCTTCGGGTTTAGGGTTAGGGTTGAGGGTTTAGGGTTGAGGGTTTTTGGCTCAGGATTTAGGATTTAGGGTTTAGGGTTTAGGGTTTAGGGTTCAGGGAGTGGTTTAGCGAGTTCTGGTGTTTGCGGAGTTTAGGGAGTTTCGGGAGTTTAGGGGGTTGAGGGAGTTTGGGGAGTTTAGGGAGTGTAGGGAGTTTAGGGAGTTTAAGAAGTCTAGGGTAGGGGTTTAGGGTTTGGGGTTTAGGGTTTAGGGTTTAGGGCTTACTAAATTGTAGAACACAAAAGCAAACTCACAACGCCTGCCTACACCCTCTCAGAAGCACCTCTCAACCCTAAATGCCCAATCCCCGACACCCCTGAAATTCAAGGTTGCTAGGGTCTCGGGCTTTGCGTTTCTGACTTTGGTTTGCGGTTTGGTTGGCTTTTGCGGTTTGAGGTTTAGGGCCTTTGGGGCTTCTGGGCTTGTGGGGTAGCAGACTGCCCTGTGGCAATTTTTGGTGAGGCTTGTAGGGCTTTTGGGAAAACATCTGGGAGGCAGGGTTGTTTAGGAATTTGTTTAGGGTCCCGGTTTTCAGGGTTTCATTAGGAGATCTAGTGTTTGAGGCCCAGGCAAACTCGACTTGCTGTACACCCCTAAAAAACTTGTTCAGAGGTTAGGTGTCTCCGTGCGCCCTAAACCCTAAACCCTAAATCCTAAACCCTAAACCGCAAAGGGCATTAGTTTGCCGTAGGAGGCCCACTTGGCGACGTTTGAGGTGGAAAGCTTTGCGGGTGCAGGTTTCACAGTGTGGGGCTTCGGGCTCAGTTTAAGGTCGACGTGCTTCTGTGCCGACATATCTGATAAAAGCCCTCCGGGGCAGAAGGTTTGAGGTTCAGGTTTAGGGCTAGGTTAAGGTTGTAGGGTGTATAAGGAAGGGAGTATAAGGAAGGGTGTCCATTTTCCAGGTTCTAGAGAGAGATTCCCTGCAAATTAAGCCACGCATGACAACCCGCTAAGGCCCTAGGAACCTCAGGAGGTACCTAAAAAAACCTCGAAACTCCAAAGGGTTTTGGGTTTCGGGCTTTAGGGTTTAGGGTTTGGGGTTCTGGGTTTCGGGCTTTAGGGTTTAGGGTTGAGGGCGAAGCCCATTTTAATTCTATTTCGTGTGCCTAACCGGCCCCAAGCCACGAAGCCACTCTTTCAAAACCCTCCGCAAAAGATGAGGCCCCATAGACCCTAAACCACGACATCTCTAAGGCGGATGCCAAAAAGGCCCCTGGAAAGAAAGGCGGGGAATGGCCGCTGTTTTGTCGCAGAGCCTCAGGGCTATGGAGCCTAGGTATTCAGAGGTTATAGGGCTGGGATGTTCCCCCTTGTACTAACAGTCTTGAATCGGCATTCTAGTGCCCCCCCCCCCCCCCCCCCCCCCCCAATCCCTATCAAGGGTATAAAGGGGGAACATCCCAAGTTTAGGGCTTGAGGGTTTAAGCGTTTTGGGGTTCAGGGCTTCTAGGGTTTTGGGGATTCGTGGCTGCAGGTTTTGGGGATTCGGGCCTTGAGGGCTTGGGGTTTCAGGGTCTTAGGGTTCAGGGCTTGGGAACTTTGGGTTGACTCATGGCTCAGGATTTAGAGGATTTAGAAGGTTCAGGGTCTAGGGTTTAGGGTTTAGGGTTTAGGGTTTAGGGTTTAGGGTTTAGGGTTTAGGGTTTAGGGTTTAGGGTTAGTTTCCTTCCTACAGCAGAGGCGCCTTGCACATGGCACGTAAAGGATTGGTCCGTAGGGAATGCGGGCAGTTAAGCGCCGTATATTTCCCTAATCATATACATTCCCTGAGCCCTAAACCCTAAACCCTGAGCCCTAAACCCTAAACCCTAAACCCTAAACCCTAAGTCCTCAGCTCCTTTCACTGGATGCAGGCAAAGGAAAGGGAAAAGGCAAGCAGAAGGCAGAGGACCGGCTCTGGACGTAGAGCTGAGGCCCTATGCTAAGGTTTAGGGTTTAGGGTTTAGGGTTTAGGAGTTAGGAGTTTAGGGTTTGGGGTTTGGGGTTTAGGGTTTAGGGTTTAGGACCCTAAGGTGGACTTCCATGCAAGACAAAGCCCCAAAACATCCTTTGGGCTTTGGGGTCTCTGGCGGATTCTTGGTACCCTCAACTCTTGTACTAGGGTTTAGGGTTTAGGGCATCCTAGTAGAAGGCATGCGCTACAACAGACAGCAGCATCGGGGCTGAGGCATTTGCGTTAGACTTTGGGGCTTTGTAGTGTTTCGGGTTTTGAGTTTGGAGCGTGGGGTTTAAGGTGCAGGGTTGAGGGTTGGGAGGTTAATTGGGGTTTAGGGCCTTCGGCTTTAGGTTTTGGTTTTGCCCTAAACCCTAAACCCTAAGTCCGGAATTCTCGGCCCCACACTAAAGGCGGGGATAATTTTGTTGCGCGTGCTTGCGAGGATCCGGTGATGACCAAAGCCGAGTTCTTCCGTGACTGTCCAGTCCTCCGTTGTGTGGGGGGCCTCGTCCGTTGCGCAAGACAGTTCCTAAGCCCTAACCCTAAACCCTAAACCCTAAACCCTAAACCCTAAACCCTAGACCCTAAACCCTAAACCCTAAACCCTAAACCCTAAACCCTACTACAGGGGCTCCGAAGACTGTGGGTTCGGTGTTCAGGCTTTAGGGTGGTCATTGTGGAGGTCTTAGGGGGTTAGGCTGCAGGCCCTGTCCCCCTCCCAAGATGGTGCCCCATGCCCCGAGGCATGAACTTGCATGAACTGAACACCCCCCCCCCCCCCCCCCCAAAAAAAAAAAAAAAAGAGAGAGACAAAAACCATAATGAGTACATACATACATACATAAATAAAAGAATAATAATGGAGCTCATGAATAGTACAAGGCAGACGAACATGACCCTCTATGCTTGAACTGAAGTTGCGTCTTCGTCCCTTGCCTTGCCTGAGAGGCTCAGGGAAGCGACTCCTGGAATTCTACCTCGGCTTCCCTAAACCCTAAGCCCTAAACCCTAAGCCCTAAACCCTAAACCCTAAACCCTTATGAGTATCAGAGTTCAGCCCTTGCTAAGTCAAGGCCGGAGGCCCCTACACTCATCCACCATTTAAGCTCCCACAGGACATGTTGCTCTTACATCCCAAGCCCCCTTAACCCTGAACCCTAAACTCCAGATCCCCAAACCCCAAACCCTAAACCCCAAACCCTAAACCCTAAGCCCTAAACCCTAAGCCCTAAACCCTAAACCCTAAACCCCTGAACCCCTGAACCCTAACTCCCAAGTTGTCTGGAAAGGCCCTTCAGATCCCCTCGGGTTCTGCACAGGCAGAGGGGGGGGGGGGGGGTGGGGTTAGGGCTTAGGGTGTAGGCTTGAGGGTTGATTGGTTCAGGGGTTTAGGGTTTAGGGTTTAGGGTTTAGGGTTTAAGGGGTCACGGTTCTAGGGGCTGTACAAGGGTTGAGGTCGGGATTGTGGGGAGTTGGGGCTTGCTCACTCTCTCTCTCTCTCTCTCTCTCTCGCTCCCTCTCCCTCTCCCTCTCTCTCTCTCTCTGTCGTATATCCTCGTTGTTTTGGGCCGACGATTCTCAAAGCCTAAGCCAAAAGCCCCCCCCCTAAACCCTAAACCCTAAACCCTAAACCCTAAACCCTAAACCCTAAACCCTAAACCCTAAACCCTAAAAAAAAACCTTAAACCCCTAAAAAAAACCTAAAAACCCTTCAACAACCCGGCCGCAGGCTTCGGAAGCCTTGGCGCCGCCCATGGACCTGGTGGCCAGGACGGTCCCATGCCTTCGGGTTTAGGGCTTTCGGGTTCAGGGTTCAGGGTCCAGGGTTTAGGGTTCAGGGTTCAGGGTTTAGGGTTTAGGGTTTAGGGTTTAGGGTTTAGGGTTTAGGATTCAGGGTTCAGGGTTCAGGGTTTAGGGTTTAGGTTTAGGGCTTAAGGTTTATGGTGTAAGGTTTTAAGAGTCTAGGGTTTAGGGAGTTTAGGGTTTAGGGAGTTTCGGGCTTAGGGAGTTTAGGGTTTAGGGAGTTTAGGGTTTAGGGTTTCGGGGCTCAGTAGAGGGGTGGTGGGAACGATTGCCCATTAGTGTGCCTTAGTGGCCCCTCTGTATATATACAAATAAATAAATAAATATATATATATATATATCACACTTTCCCAGTTGGTCATTTTTCTGTCTTAGTTCGAGAGAATCATCTTGAGGACTTTTTTGGCGGTGTCAAGGGCCACCCTAGGGAATGTATTACATTTTTCCAAGGCCCTTGTCACCCTAAGCCCTAAACCCTAGACCCTAAACCCCACAAAGTCTAAGCCCTAGACCTCAAACCCTACATTGCAAGGCCGAAACCCTAGTCCCTTTTAAACTACAAAGCCTATGTCAACCCTAAACCCTAAACCCCCAGCCCTAAACCCTGCACCGCCTAAATCCCAGACTTGCCAGCCTCTCAGCCCGAAGCTGGTCCTTGAACAAGAATCTGCGCCCCAATCAGCCCCGTAACCCTGTTGAAGCCTCCTCCCTTAGACCTCAGGGTTTTAGGGGTTTAGGGTTTGGGGTTCAGGGTTTAGGGTTAGAGTTTAGGGTTGTAGGTGTCGCTAACCCTGAACAAACCCAAGAAACTTGTCAGCAGAGTTCTGCTGCCGGCAGGACCTTCAAGTCTGGAGGCGGGGTTGGGCTTCCGGAATTCCCAATTTGGGGATTTTCAATATCTACCTTTTGCATCATCACAGTACCCTGACCCTAAACCCTAAACCCCAAACCCTAAACCCTAAACCCCAAACCCTAAACCCTAAACCCAATGGCATGCCCTGCTGTGGGCAATGCCAGTTAGATCTTAGCCCATGGTGGGTGTCCTCTCTTTCATTGGTCGCTGCTTCCTGCCCTGCTCAGAGAAGGAAGAAACAGATGTACGCGCATGTCTCTCAAAGTTCAACAACCCCTAACCCTAAACCCTAAACCCTAAACCCTAAACCCTAAACCCTGAACTTTGCCACTGACTGCACCGGGTGCCACAGAAACCCCTCAAATGCCCGATCACCGAATCCCTGAAGTCTTGGCCTTCAAAGTTGCTAAGCTCGCATCCCGGCAAGGCCCCCCTCGACCCTAGGCTGGTTGGGTTTAGGGTTATTTAGGGCTTTAGAGGTTTTAGGGGTTAAGGGTTTCTGGGTGTGGGGTTTGCGAGTTTTAGGGGTTTCAGCGTTTTGGGGGTTAAGGGTTTAAGCGTTCAAGGGTTCACGGGTGTTAGGGTTTAGGGTGTTAGGGTGTTCGGGTTTAGGACAAGAAGCCCTAAACCCTGGAAACCTCGCAGGCGTGGGTATGTTCTCTTCCGTGAAGTTCGATTTGCCGGTGGGGCCGCAGCAGGCACCTCCTTCTGGGTCTGCCCCGAGATAGGTTGCATTCTGACCTCATGGGTCCTACCTTTGAACTAAACCCTACAAGCCCTATAAACCCTCTAAACCCTATCAACCCTATGAACTCTACAAACCCTATAAACCCCGAGACCCCAAACCTTAAGAGGGCTTATCATGGTGTGTCGGGTTTATGGAGGCTTCGTTAGGTTTCCCTGGCTCATGGAGTTTCTATCTTCGCCTCGACCCACCAGGCACCTCGACACATCGAGTTGTTTGCCGGCATGTCTACACAGCGATCAATGCAGCCGGATATCCCTCTGTGGCCACCGACATTGCCTATGGGTTTGAGGTATGCTGTCTGGCTGGTCCTCGAAGCACGAGAAGATGACTTCTTTCGTTCGCTTCGGAATCGTTTGCAGCTCTTAGGTCCCCATGCTGGCACTTCCAAGCGATTTAGGGTTTAGGGTTCAGGGTTCAGGGTTCAGGGTTTCGGGTTTAGGGTTCAGGGTTTAGGGTTTAGGGTTTAGGGTTTAGCCTCACCGCCAGACCGTCCAGACGCCATCGCTTGGGCTCGCCAAGCCCGGGGCATACCCAGACTCTGTGGCTTCCGATCTGCCACTGGTAATATCGGCTTTCCCTAAACTAAACCCTAAACCCTAAACCCTAAACCCTAAACCGAATGGTATCTAGGAGTCTTCAGCTTCAAGTGTGTTGCGTGCCAGTCATGTCCAACCCTAAGCCCTAGACCCTGCTATCCCTAAACCCTAAACCCTAGCCCCTAAACCCTAAACCCTAAACCCTAAACCCTGAACCCTGAACCCTGAACCCTGAACCCTAAACCCGACCCCTAAAAGCCCTAAAAGGCATGAAGCTCATAGGCAACCGGAGGCCCTGCAAGGCAGTTTGGGTTCAGGATGATGTTCGGGTTGAGACTTTGCATAGTCCCTTTATCTTCGGGGTACCGGGTCTATGGGGTTTCTAATTTTTAGGGATTTGAGGGTCTTAGGGTTTCGGTTCGGGTATAGGGTTTAGGGTTTAGGGTTTAGGGTTTAGGGTTTAGGGTTTTGGGGCGCCCTCAGCCTTTCGAGAGCAAGGCAGGCACAGGCCAGAACTGGGAGAGGTTTTGTGGTTTCATATAGGGGCCTGAATAGTCTTAATAGTTTTTTGGGAGGTTATCACAGTAGAAGTATACAGGGGCCATAAGGAATACTATTGGTGATGATTCCGACCCCTATATTCGGGGCTTTGGTGATTAGGGGCTTAAGGCGTTTGGGGTGTTTCTTCATGGGCTCAAGGTCTTAAACCCTAAACCCTAAGCCCTAAACCCTAAACCCTAAACCCTAAACCCTAAACCCTAATTAGGGGTTCATCATCCGAAGGCCTCCGAAGCCTTAAACCCAACCTTAAGGACACCGCACCCACTGGCCACAAGCGGTCATAGAGGTTTTAGGGTTTAGTGTGTTAGGGTTTATGCGGTAATGTGCGCAAGAATTGCCGCGAGCATAGACCCTAACTGAATCCTAAGCCGCGAAATCCCCGAAGCCCCAAAACCACCTCCAACCCCTAAACCCCCAAACCACTACATATACCCCAGACCCATTTAGGGGGTTTCCGAAATAAGGGGTACCTTATTGGGGTCTACTATTAGGGGGCTAATTTAGGGGTCCCTTTCTTTCGTAAACCCTAAACCCTAAACGTAAACCCTAAACCCTAAACCCTCAACTTTTCTAGCTCCCAAGGGAGCATCAAGAAGCGCCTTGGTGCAGGTGACAGTAACGGCGCAGGTGGTGATGAACGTTTCCGGATCCAAGTACTGGGAAGACGGTGAAGGCTCGCGCTACACCCTAACCCACCTAAACCCCTAAACCCTAAACCCTTAACCCTTAACCCTTAAACCCTAACCCACCTAAACCCTTAACCCTCGGTCAAGCCTTGACCCTAAATAGACCATACGCGATCTTTCAGGGGTTCTCTCCCCATGCCAAAACAAGAACAGCAGTGACAGACCTTCAGATTCCATCTCAGCAGAACCCGAACCCCGCCCAGCCCCCCCCCCCCCCCCCCCCCCCCCCCCCCCCCCCCGCCATTCCCCCCGAACCCAAAAGCGAACCAGTTGTGGTTCGGATTCGGGGGCGGGCGGGGCACTTACTATCAAATTCCGAAGCTAAAGCTGTTGAAAGTGTCGGGCTTAGGGGTACCCTTCACAAGGCCCCATGTGACTGGTGTAGGGTCGGGCGGGGCAAGCCCGAGTTCTACCCTAAGTCCCAAATCCCAAACCTGAAGCTTATAAATGCCAAACCCCAAGCCCTATGAACCCCAAACCATTCAACCCCTAAGCCCAAAGCCCTACACCCCTATCAGACCCAGACCCTAAACCGCAAACCTTCAAACCCTAAACGTTAAGCCCACAAGCCTTACAAGCCCTAAGCCCCAAATTCACAAGCATCCAGAAGATGGCTGGCCATCGGGAAGCCGTGGAGCCAACAAGAACGGTGCGATCTACGAGATCAGAAATTGAAGATTCATATGATGATCTTCACGCCGGCACAGCGACTTCCAGAAAAGGTACCGCAAGCCACCTTGAAAGGTTAAGTTGAAACCCCCTAAACCCTAAACCCTAAACCCTAAACCCTAAACCCTAAACCCTAAACCCTAAACCCTAAACCCTAAACCCTAAACCCTAAACCCTAAACCCTAAACCCTAAACCCTAAACCCTAAACCCTAAACCCTAAACCCTAACCGAAACTAGCCCTACTTAAGCCTCAGCTTAATCGCCTACGTACCTACATAGACCCCTGCTGAAGCCTTGAACCCTGAACCCTGACAATCCTAAAGGACAATCTTTGTAAAATCCCCCTTCGCCCCGTTCCCCCTTTCCCGCTTCCCCCCTTCCCTCCTTCCCCCCGCCCCAAAAAAAATAATAATAAGAGGCAAAAGCAAACAAAAAAAACCTAAAACCTTACTCCCGGAACCCTAAACCCTAAACCCCTAAACCCTAAACCCCAAACCCTAAACCCTAAACCCCAAACCCTAAACCCCAAACCCGAAAACCCCAAACCCTAAACCCTAAAGCCTGCGGGAGGCTACGAGGCCGCCCTGAAGTCTCTCGAAAGCAGAGCCCAGGAGGTGGGTCTCCTCCTGCATTTAGGGGGTTTAGGGTTTAGGGTTTAGGGTTTAGGGTTTAGGGTTTAGGGTTTAGGGTTTAGGGCATTCAGGGATTTGGGGTTTAGGCTTAGGGCTTTCAGGGGTTTCAGGTTTAGGGCTTGCAGGGTTTGGGGCATAAGGGATTCAGGGAGACCTTCAGCGGGTGTAGGGTTCACATGTTTTAGGGTTTGGGATTTAGGGTTTAGGGTGTAGGCTTCTAAGGGCCTTACGGGCTTTTAGGGTAGGGGCTTTGGGGGGTTTTGGCCTCAGGGGTTCAGGGCTCTAGGGCTTGTAGAAGCTTTCGGAAGCCTGCGACGGTCAGAGACGCCAATCCCAATCCCAAGCCCATGCCTCAAATTCAACGGACTCAGGGAGGGACCCTTATAAGAGACCTGAGGGGTCATTAAGGGGTTATTTGGGGGGGGGGGGGGGGTACTTGGGTATATAGGGACTACCATATAAGGTAAAAAACATATATATATATATATAGGGGTTATAGAATGATTAAGGTAGGGACTCTTCCTTTTACTTCTCAACAAATGCAATCTCCCAGCGGCATAGCGTTTATAGGGTGTCAGGGTTTCAGGGTTGTTTCAGGTTTCAGGGTTGTAGGGTTTCAGGGCTATAGGGTGTAAGGGTTTCAGGGTGTGAAGGCTCAGGCCCTCTTAGGCTTTGAGGGTTTCAGGGTTTTGGGGTTTTGCGGTGTTGGGGTTTAGGGTTTTAGGGTCTTAGGGTTTTGGGGTTTGGGTGTTCTAAAAGCCTGAGCTCTTTAAACCTCAGAATCCCTAAAAGCCCTAAAACCCTAAACCCTGTAAGCCCCTAAACGTCCTAATGCCCTACCCCTAGACCCCAAACCCTATAAGCCCCTAAATGCCCCAAAACCCAAAGCGCCGTAAACCCTCGACCCTATAAGCGCCGCAGAGAAACCCAACAACTGTCAGGCACAGGGCCTTTCGACGCAGGAACCGGCCGCAGTCGACGAGGCTCTGGGATGTCTTGTTAATGGTTTGGGGGTATCAGGGTTTAGGGTTTGGGTTATACCAGATATCAGCCTCTTTAACTGAGGATGTGTAAAAGTATGTAGGGCATTACGTCGGAACCTATGTAGTGAATGACGTCGGAAGTCACGTAAATCGTTAGGGTCAAGTCGAAAAGAAGCGCAGGGTTTGCAGGCCCAGGCCTGGCACAAAGGTTTCTGTTGCCCTTCGGCTCTACAACACCGTAGAGCACCCCTTCGTCTCGAAGGCCGCCGGCATCCCCTGGCACACTTTCGCGGGCCAAAAGCGCGCCTGGAGCTGGAGATTCCAGCTTTTCGTACGCCTGGCACAGAGGTTTCTGTGGCCTTTTGGCTCTATGTGTAGGTAGAGCCACCATACAGCGTCCCTTCGTTTCGAAGGCCGCCAGCATCCCCTGGCGCACTTTCGCGGGCCAAAAGCGCGCCTGGAGCTGGAGATTCCAGCTTTTTGCATGCCTGGCACACAGGTTTCTGTTGCCCTTTGGCTCTATAACACTGTAGAGCATCCGTTCGTTTCGAAGGCCGCCAGCATCCCCTGGCGCACTTTCGCGGGCCAAAAGCGCGCCTGGAGCTGGAGATTCCAGCTTTTCGCATGCCTGGCGCAAAGGTTTCTGTTGCCCTTTGGCTCAATAACGCCGTAGAGCATCCCTTCGTTTCGAAGGCCGCCAGCATTCTTTGGCGCACTTTCGTGGGCCAAAAGATTCTTAGACTATGGGTAAAACGTAGCACCCATGGAATTTGTTGATTAGAGAAAAGTAGTTTCAGAACTCGTTGTGTCGAAGAACCAAAGTCTCGACTTTCAGAGGAAAGTAAAATTGTTTCTTCATAGACCACCTCCTGTTTCATCTGGAATAACCACATACTTCCATTTATGCCACGATGATCACGATGTTGTAAAGCATTCATATGGTTACATTGCAGTTGCTATATGGTGCTTTTTTGGGTGGCTGCAAAACGGTTTTAAACGGTTTTGGGGCACCGTAAATGGGGTCAAAAATCCAAAACTATTCAAAACTATTAAAAACGGTTTTAAAACGGTTTTGCCGGCACACTGGGGCGCTCCAAAACGGTTTTAAACGGTTTTGGGGCAACCCTTTTTGTACTCTTCAAGATACACGAAAAGTGGCTCCGCAGCCAAGTTTCACCAGCCTAGAGCAACACACCTGCATAAACCCTAAACCCTAAACGACGTAAACCCTGAAACCCAGCCCCGAAGCGCAAGCCCTCCAACCAACCTTTTTAATGACCACCGCCAGGCGATGGTCATTAAACCCTAAACCCTTTCCCTTTTAAGGTGGGTTTAGGGGGTTTAAGGGTTCAGGGTTGGAGGACCTAACCCCTAAAGCCTAAGCAGCCGCACCGCGGCCGACATGGAGCAACAGTGCTTAAACCTAAGCCGCTTAGCCCAAAATTCCTAAACCCGAGACCTAAACCCAAGGTTGGCTAAGAGCCCTGACACTGTTTAATGACCACCGTCAGGCGATCCTAGAAGCCTAAACCCCAAAACACCTAGAAACCCTAAACCCCAGCCCCGAAGCGTAGGCCCTCCAACCTTGTTAATGACCACCGCCAGGCGATGGCCATTAAACCCTAAACCCGAGCCCCAAACCCGAGATCTAAACCCAAGGTTGTCTAAGAGCCCTGACACCCTGTTTAATGGCCACCGCCAGGCGATGGGGCAACCCTTTTTGTACTCTTCAAGATACACGAAAAGTGGCTCCGCAGCCAAGTTTCACCAGCCTAGAGCAACACACCTGCAAAAACCCTAAACCCTAAACGACGTAAACCCTGAAACCCAGCCCCGAAGCGCAAGCCCTCCAACCAACCTTTTTAATGACCACCGCCAGGCGATGGTCATTAAACCCTAAACCCTTTCCCTTTTAAGGTGGTTTAGGGGGTTTAAGGGTTCAGGGTTGGAGGACCTAACCCCTAAAGCCTAAGCAGCCGCACCGCGGCCGACATGGAGCAACAGTGCTTAAACCTAAGCCGCTTAGCCCAAAATTCCTAAACCCGAGACCTAAACCCAAGGTTGGCTAAGAGCCCTGACACTGTTTAATGACCACCGTCAGGCGATCCTAGAAGCCTAAACCCCAAAACACCTAGAAACCCTAAACCCCAGCCCCGAAGCGCAGGCCCTCCAACCTTGTTAATGACCACCGCCAGGCGATGGCCATTAAACCCTAAACCCGAGCCCCAAACCCGAGATCTAAACCCAAGGTTGTCTAAGAGCCCTGACACCCTGTTTAATGGCCACTGCCAGGCGATGGCCATTAAACGCCTAAACCCTAAACCCTTTTGTTTAATAACCACCGCCAGGCGATGGCCATGAAACGCCTAAACCCCAAACCCTTTTGTTTAATGACCACCGCCAGGCGATTGTCATTAAACCCTCAACCCTCAACCCTGTGTTTAATGGGCGCCCCAGAGCGGCCATTAAACTCCTAAATTGCAGCACCACCCCTCCCCCCCCCACCCCCCACTCCGGGCCTAAGGCTTAAAAACCAAGCGATTTTGTATCAATTGGCTCCTGTAAGCAATCACGAAAAGGTTCACGCAAATTTTCTATAACCCAAAGTTTTGTGTGATAGAAAATTTACGTGAATCTTTACGTGATTGCTTACAGGAGCCAATTCATTTACGTGAACATTTACGCGATTCCCTACGTGACTTCCGACGCCAATTTGCTTGCCTGACATTTGCCCCAACTTAAAGAGGCTGATATCTGGTATAAGGTTTGGGGTTTAGGGTTTAGGTGTTAGGGGTTTCGGGTTTCAGGAGTTTAGGGCTTCGGGTTTCAGGGTTTAGGGTTTCAGGGTTGTACTTTGAGGGGCAGCAGGGGGGGAACCCTCGTAAACCCAAAACCCAAAACCCCTAAACCCCAAACATCAACATGTTTTTTACAGTAAGCTTAGGGGAGGTCCTTTCTAAGACCCTAAACGGCTTAGGGTTTACAGAGCTGGGTTTTAGGGCGTTTAGGGCGTTTAGGGCGTTTAGGGGCTTCTACGCCCTAAGCCCTGAATCCTAGTATCCCTTGATTCTGGGTTTTGTTGCTTTGCGCTACCAGTGTTGTGTTGGCAGCTTTCTAGTACTTTGAGGTGTACAAAGGGTTGAGGGTGTAGGGTTCAGGGTTTCGGGAGGTTTATATAACCCTAAACCCTAAACCCTTAACCCTAAACCCTACACAGGGAGGTTTCAGGAGCTTCTACGGATTTCGTGTTGGCCAATCCGGTCGCAGCCGTGCGCTTGTACATGTCCTGCTGGGCTGATCTGAAATTTGGCTATGGCTAAGGCTACATCGCAAATGGGGCCCTTTTGAGGGGGTATGTATAAATACGCGTCTCTGCAGTTCATACGCGTCTCCACAGTGTTGGGTACAAAGAACTTAGTTGAGCGACTGGCTAAATCTCGCGCCTCTCTGAGTAGCCTTGGGCGGGGACATTTGCACATTTGCTGTGAAAACGATACTTAACCCCAAAAGCGATACCCCCAGATACGAGTCGGTTCTATCCTCATAACTTGAGTTGATTGCCTTGCTGATGCAATGCATTTGGCTTGACATCGGCTGGAGAGTGCCCCTGGTGCTCCATGACTTGGCAGTACGGTTTTTTATTGGAAACCGATACCTAAACCCAAAAGCCATACCCTCAATGAATGTCCCAGCCGTGGCCTCTAGGTTTTGCCGCGCGATCAGTTCAAGAACGGCTAGACACTGGACTGCTGTGGGGCTGACTTTTCGATCAGGATCTATGGTTTCGGGTTTTTCCGAAACAGATACCCTTGATAGTCCTCACAGAACCCAAGCCCAGAACCCTTGTCATGAAGATCGAGCCTCCGGTTTGGGGCCTAAAAGAGGGACAGGAAACTCTGATTCATGTGTTTCTTCTCTCGCCCTCCTACTTCATCCCTTTTGCCTCAGAGTACCCAGAACGATCAGAAATCAGTTCGCTGACCATCTTAGTTCATAGTTCAGTACTAACAATACACCTTGTACGCCCAGAACCCTAGTAGACTCACACCCCTTGCAAGCCCCGTGCAGCTGATGTACCTTGGCTGTTGGCTACATGTACCCTTTTTGAAGGTACAAGGCTTCTTTAGGTTAAGCCCTTGAACTCTAAACCTTAAACCCTAAACCCTAAACCCTAAACCCTAAACCCTAAACCCTAAACCCTAAACCCTAAACCCTAAACCCCCGAAGCCCTGGTCACAGGCGCCCTGCACCCCCGAACGCCACGTGCCGCACGGCGGCTTGGCAGAGGCGGCGGGAGTGGGGCGTGGACCCATTTTGTATGCGGGGGTGTCCGAAATTAGGGTACCTTTAGGGTTCAGGGTTTCGGGGGTTTAGGGTTTAGGGTTTAGGGTTTAGGGTTTAGGGTTTAGGGTTTAGGGTTTAGGGTTTAGGGTTTAGGGGTACCTTATTGGGGTCCTTATTGTAAGGGAATCCCACTATTTGGGGACTATATATTAGGGGTCCCTTCTTTTTTCGTAAACCCCCATCTCTCCCCCACGCCAAACAAACCAAATCCCAAAAAAATTAAAATCCTCGGCCACCTGAACTCCTACACCATCTAAAGCCATCTAAACCATCTAAGCCTCTACAAACCCCCAAGCCACCGAACCTCCCAAACCCCTAAGCCCTAAGCCCCTCATCATGCCAAGAAAAGAAGAGGCTCCCGCCACCGCCACGGCACCTGACGCAGAGGAAGAAGAGGGTCCCAATACCGAAGAGGCATCGGAGTAGGCCCTTCTTTCCTTTTAGGTTTAGGGGTTCCCTTATTATCCCCTTAAAACCAAAAAAGGGAACCCTTCTTATTCCTAGGTTAGTCCTGGGTTACAATACCGAAGAGGCATCGCCCGCAAGTACCGGCGATGTGGTTTAGGGTTGATAAAGGGCTTTTGTTTAGGGCTGAGGGTGTTTTGTTTAGGGCTCCGGGCTTAGGGTTCAGGGTTTGGGGTTTAGGGATCCGGGCTTAGGGTCAAAACGAACAGACTTATACACAAACCCCAAAATCCGACTGGAAGCCCCAAACCCTAAACCCTAAAGCTTGCAGCATGAATCCCGACAAAGCTTACATCGGGCTGCTCGTCTAGGTGGGCCCTAGGGATGTTTCACCTGTTTCCCTTCTTGAGTTTAGGGTTTAGGGTTTAGGGTTTAGGGTTTAGGGTTTAGGGTTTAGGGTTTAGGGTTTAGGGTTTAGGGTTTAGGGCTTAATTTAGGGTTTAGGGTTTAGGGCTTAGGGTCACATGTCGGAATATTTTTTAGAGGCTTTTCAGGGCCATCGCATTGCAGGCCTTTTGGTGTCGCACAAAGGCTTGGTAGGGTTCAATCGGGCTTGTGGGCCTCGAGTGCTTAGTCTTGGGTTGCCAAACTCTGAACCCTCCACTTCCGAAACCCTACAGCCCTCAACTTCCAAGCCCTGTAAACCCTAAACCCTAAACCCTAAACCCTAAACCCTAAACCCTAAACCCTAAACCCTAAACCCTAAACGGCCAAACCCTGAAAACCGAAGCGGCCCGCTTCACGCAGGCGGCGCCCGTCACTCCAAAGCGAAAGAGACCTGCGGACGAGCCCTCTCGTGGTGAGGCAGGGCTAGGGTTTAGGGTTTAGGGTTTAGGGTTTAGGGTTTAGGGTTTAGGGTTTAGGGTTTAGGGCTTAGGGTTTAGGGTTTAGGGTTTAGGGAGTCGGCGAACTCCATAGCAGAATTTTCGGGGCTTTGAAGGGGGCAGTCACAAGGGGCGTTTTAAAGG